CAGTGTCAGAATGCATGCCGCAGTCCCGCTATAAGTTGCTGAAAAATAAACTAGTAAAAATAAAAAAAAATAAAAAAAAAATCCCAGTATATATACCGCCATTTGTAAACTCTTTAACTTTCAATTAACCTCCTCAGCAGTCTGATTATGTCCATATTTCTGTGCTCATAGCGTTATATTTTTTTTGCATGGAAATATGTATTTTTTTTTTTTTGCAGGCCTGTAATTTTTAGCAATAACTCACTGAAATCTGTCCGAACAAGAGTCTAGTAAACATCCCGGGTATGTTAAAATTTGAAAACGAAATCATAAATTATAATTTAATAAATAATCATAAAAAATAATAATAATATAATAATAATACATTTAATTCAATAATATAATCAAACCAAAAACACTGAAATTTGAAATATAGCGCCAAGTTCGCACATCACTGAGCAAAGTCTTAAAATCGTTTTCAGTGTCTGATGACAAATTTCCCCACAAATCATTATCACTCAATTCTGCAAGTAGTTCTAATTTGCTATCGCTGTTCTCTAGCTGGTCTAAAACCGATGTTGACCTAAAGGGATGCTTTTGGACGACATGGATATTTCTCAGTTTCCAGGCAATAAGAACAGTAAAAATGCAGGCAGGGCACAGGACAAAGCACTAGGGACAAAATGTATGTGAAATGGTTTGATACAGTAATGTTTTACTATGTGATTTTAGTGAATTTAGTGAATGTCACTTTTTTGTCATTTTCAAATTTCCCACCGTTCCGTCCCCGTACGTCCCGACGTCACAGGGGACGGAACCCAGAAGACAGATGCCGGCATCCGCCAGAGGACATTACAGGGGACACTGCAGGAGGGACATCGCGGGAGTGCAGGCAAGGTAAGCGAAGAAGGGATCCCGGAGCAGCGCCGCATGGTAAGTCCCGAGTGTAGCCCGCTTGTGGTACTGAAACTTTTACCCCGAGCTACACTCGGGAATACCGCCAGGGAGGCTACACCAATTAGTTTAAAACGTATTGGAATTTTTTTTTTAGCAAAGACATGTAACAGAATACATTTTGACTTAAATTTATGATGAAATTAGATTTTTTTACATTTTTTTTACTGGACATAATTTAATAGCAAAAAGTCACAAATATAGTCCTTTTTTTTATAGCACAAAAAATAACAAAATGTACAGGTGATCAAATGCCACCAAAAGAAAGCTCTATTTGTAAGAATAAAAGGACATACATTTAATTTGGGTGCAGCGTTGTATGACCGTGCAATTGACAGTTAAAGTACGCAACGTACCACAAAAAAAATGGCCTGGTCAGGAAGGGGGGGTAAATCCTCTGGAGGGCAAGTGGTTAAAAACCAGCTTACAGTCAAACAAAACACTGATAAAAATGCATCAAAAACACAATACTTACATTGTTGGTGTAGTTTCATTGAAGTCTTTTATACGAAAAACGCAATCTGTTGCACTCAGTCCCTGGCTCTTTCAAAAATCTGCGCTTGCTGAAAACGCACAGATGTGAAATAGATCTATAAGAAATCATGCTAAATGAACTGTAGTGCGTTTCTGCAAACTAGAAAATGCACTGAAGTGTGAACGAGGGTAAGAGTTGATTAGAGGTGCAAATACTCAGTTTTCAGATTTATGATTTTTTTTTTTTAGCAAAAAAAAAAATAGCTTATTAATTGTATATTTAATATCCTTGAATGGGCAGAGAATAGAATATTAAAAAATAAAATTCAGAAAATGAGACACACATGAGCAAACAGCATTGAAAATAACACATAAAACATGCAGAAAAAGCATGTTTATTGCTTCTGGGGATGGATAAAACATGTGGACCATACTACCTCCCCCTCAAAAAAAATAGATGGGACATGTTTAGTTTAAAGAGTCAACCGTTTGCATCTTACTTAATTAGCACAGGTAGGATTTGGATGATTGAACCTTCAAAACGCATAACCGTGCAGGATTATGATATTATGAGACTGAAGGTAAGAGTCATGGTTTCAGCTGTTGTTCTGCTGTATGAAGAGGACCAAACACCAATGTTTTATACCTAGCAGAACCATTGTAACATTATGATTAGAGATGAGCGAATCGAACATGGCGAAGTGGAATTCGTTTCGAGATCAGGAAAAATTCGATTCGCGCCGAATCCGAAAATTAGCAAACTTCGGATGCACGAATCGAATTTTCCCAAAAATGGCGGCGACATGTGTGGCGACGGAGCGGGGATCTCTGGGAAGGCGCGCAGACAAGGCGCGCTGACCCATAATGCATTCATTCATGACATGTGATCGCATTAGCCAATCAGCAGCCAGCCAGCCAGCACTGTGTAATGGTGGAGCTATAAATTGCGGCCATCTTACAATTCTCCATTAGCCTCCGGTCATTCAAGAGAGACAGACCTGTCTGTATTAGGGACAGAGTTAGGGCCAGAGAGACTTTAGGGCCACAGAATCGTTACTTAGGGACACAGAATCGTTACTTAGGGACACAGAATCGTTACTCAGGGACACAGAATTGTTACTCAGGGACACAGAATTGTTACTCAGGGACACAGAATTGTTACTCAGGGACACAGAATTGTTACTGAGGGACACAGAATTGTTACTCAGGGAACCAGAATTGTTACTCAGGGACACAGAATTGTTACTCAGGACAGACACAGAATTGTTACTCAGGGACACAGAATTGTTACTCAGGGACACAGAATTGTTACTGAGGGACACAGAATTGTTACTCAGGGACACAGAATTGTTACTCAGGGACACAGAATTGTTACTCAGGGACACAGAATTGTTACTCAGGGACACAGAATTGTTACTCAGGGACACAGAATTGTTACTCAGGGACACAGAATTGTTACTCAGGGACACAGAATTGTTACTCAGGGACACAGAATTGTTACTCAGGGACACAGAATTGTTACTCAGGGACACAGAATTGTTACTCAGGGACACAGAATTGTTACTCAGGGACACAGAATTGTTACTCAGGGACACAGAATTGTTACTCAGGGGACACAGAATTGTTACTCAGGGACACAGAATTGTTACTCAGGGACACAGAATTGTTACTCAGGGACACAGAATTGTTACTCAGGGGACACAGAATTGTTACTGAGGGACACAGAATTTGTACTCAGGGACACAGAATTGTTACTCAGGGACACACAGAATTGTTACTCAGGGACACAGAATCGTTACTCAGGGACACAGAATTGTTACTCAGGGACACAGAATTGTTACTCAGGGACACAGAATTGTTACTCAGGGACACAGAATTGTTACTCAGGGACACAGAATTGTTACTCAGGGACACAGAATTGTTACTCAGGGACACAGAATTGTTACTCAGGGACACAGAATTGTTACAGGGACACAGGACACTGAGGGACACAGAATTGTTACTCAGGGACACAGAATTGTTACTCAGGGACACAGAATTGTTACTCAGGGACACAGAATGTTACTACTCAGGGACACAGAATTGTTACTCAGGGACACAGAAATCGTTACTCAGGGACACAGAATCGTTACTCAGGGACACAGAATTGTTACTCAGGGACACAGAATTGTTACTGAGGGACACAGAATCGTTACTCAGGGACACAGAAACGTTACTCAGGGACACAGAATTGTTACTCAGGGACACAGAATCGTTACTCAGGGACACAGAATTGTTACTCAGGGACACAGAATTGTTACTCAGGGACACAGAATCGTTACTCAGGGACACAGAATTGTTACTCAGGGACACAGAATTGTTACTCAGGGACACAGAATTGTTACTCAGGGACACAGAATTGTTACTCAGGGACACAGAATTGTTACTCAGGGACACACAGAATTCGTTACTGAGGGACACAGAATTGTTACTCAGGGACACAGAATTGTTACTCAGGGAGACACAGAATTTGTTACTCAGGGACAGACACAGAATTGTTACTCAGGGACACAGAATTCATGTACTACTCAGGGACACAGAATTGTTACTGAGGGACACAGAATCGTTTACTCAGGGACACACAGAATTGTTACTCAGGGACGACACAGAATTGTTACTCAGGGACAACACAGAATTGTTACTCAGGGACACAGAATCGTTACTCAGGGACACAGAATTGTTACTCAGGGACACAGAATGTTACTCAGGGGACACAGAATCGTTACTCAGGGACACAGAATCGTTACTGAGGGACACAGAATCGTTACTCAGGGACACAGAATGTTACTCAGGGACACAGAATCGTTACTCAGGGACACAGAATCACTTACTCAGGGACACAGAATCGTTGAATTAAAGAGTATGTCAGACAACACGCAGAGGAGTGGCAGGGAGGCAATGTTTCAGGAGCGAGCAGACGTGGCAGCAGAGGAAGGGGTCGAGGCAGCACTAGTCGCAGCCAGCCAAGAGGCCAGTGCTCCCGGTGTCATCCACGCGGTCGTAGTCTCCACCGACAACCCTGCCGTCATCGATTGGTTGGCTCGGTCGTCTTCCTCTTCCCAGGTCACCTCTGACACCTACAGCCAACGGTCGGTGGGTACGTCAGACACAACCGTTAGTTGGCATGGCCCGGGAGCAAGCCCACTGAAATCACGTGTCCTCTACCTGCCCCTGTCCTTTGGTGTTCCCTCACCAAGCGAAGTATCGCATGCTGTGGGCTCAGCCCCCACTGTACCAGTGAGGAAGAGCTAACAGAGGGCGGTCAGGAACGGGGGAGACATCCGCCTCTTCAGCAGCCTCCAGGCGAAGAAGTACTGGCGAGGAGAGTGGCTCGGTAGCCCGGTCTAGAGACAGGTCTGTCTCCTGACCCACACGCAGCCTGAGGGGGCTAGTAGTGAGGCGGAGACCCTAATTGATGATGATGAGGCTGTTTCGCACTTGGCAGCCTCGTCGTATGCTGCCAGGCAGTAATCTGCCATGGGCCCCATTGTACGTGACTCCTCATGCTGCTGCTGCCAGGCCCGTAATCTGTCATGGGCCCCTGTACCGCCTCCTCATGCTGCTGCCAGGTCCAGAGTGTGTCATGGGTCCCTGTACGCCTCCCATTGCTGCTGTCTCCATCGCCACACTCTGCCATGTGCCACTTTCAGGTCTCCTCACACTGCTGGTGGGTTCCATTTTGTCATAGGGTGCTGGCAGATTACGGGCCTCCCATTGCTGCTGCCAGGCCCGTAATCTGCCATGGGCCCCTGTACCGCCTCCTCATGCTGCTGCCAGGTCCAGAGTGTGTCATGGGTCCCTGTACGGCCTCCCATTGCTGCTGTCTCCATCGCCACACACTCTGCCATGTGCCACTTTCAGGTCTCCTCTCACACTGCTGGTGGGTTCCATTTTGTCATAGGGTGCTGGCAGATTACGGGCCTCCCATTGCTGCTGCCAGGCCCGTAATCTGCCATGGGCCCCCGTGTACTCCTCTGCTGCTGCCAGGCCCGTAATCTGTCATGGGCCCCTGTACCGCCTCCTCATGCTGCTGCCAGGTCCAGAGTGTGTCATGGGGTCCCTGTACGGCCTCCCATTGCTGCTGTCTCCATCGCCACACTCTGCCATGTGCCACTTTCAGGTCTCCTCACATTGCTGGTGGGTTCCATTTTGTCATAGGGTGCTGGCAGATTACGGGCCTCCCATTGCTGCTGCCAGGGCCCGTAATCTGCCATGGGCCCCCGTACCGACTCCTCATGCTGTGACGTTGCAACAAGGTGGAATTCAACCCTACATATGTTATGTTAACCGCCTTTACGAACAGCGAAAGGCCATCACCGATTTCCTGATGTTACAAGCGGATAAAGGTCCCCCTGTGTAACTTAGATGTCAGCCATTGGCAGCTCATGCGTGACACCTGCCGCTTGCTCAGGCCCTTTGAGGAGGCCACGCTATTCGTGAGTCGGCAGGACTATGGGATGAACGACGTCATTCCTCTGTTGCACGTCCTGGAACAAATGCTGTTAACACAATGGCTGGTCAGGGTGCGGTAGACGTGGCGCACAGATCTCAACGCCACATGACCCCTGTGGGGGCAGGACAGGAAGAAGAGGAGGAGGTAGAGGAGGACATTGGTGCTCAGGAATTATTGAGTGAAATGGGTGGTTTTTCCACTCAGCGGACAGGAGTGGAGGAGCAGGAGCATCTGGTAGAGGAGGAGGAGGAGACAGAGGACCCAGACGCACCGTGGCAGTATGCTGTGGAGATGGAGGCAGGGAGTCCCTCGCATTCCTTGGCACAAATGGCCCATAGCATGCTCGGTTGCTTGCGTAGCGACAGCCGAATAATAACCATCAGACAGAGGGATGACTTTTGGCTGTCCACCTTGTTGGACCCTCGCTACCGTTCAAAAATGGTGGCCTTTTTCACACCTGCTGAGAGGGAGGCCAAAATAAAGTACTATAAAAACCACCTATGTAGTCAGTTGGTCTCTGCCTTTCTGCGCCAACGTCCATCACCTCAGACACTGTGGGCCCTGTGCGCTCGCGTTCCGCTGCCATGGGCAGCAGGGGAGGGGTGGGGTGGTAGGAGCAGTGGCAGCTCCACCAGCAGCGGCTGCCTCAGTCTGCAGTCGATGATGAGTAGCTTTCTTCACCAGCGCAGTGAGGAAACTACTAACCAGCTGCAGCAGCAGCAGCAGCATCAGGTGGACCTGGAGCAGGACCTCAAACAACAGGCTTGGGCCTACTTGGACAGCACCCTGCCAACCGAGGTAGACAATCCCCTTGACTACTGGGCAACGAAACTTGACCTTTGGCCCCAACTAGCTGAATTTGCCCTTGAAAGGCTGTCATGCCCGGCCAGTAGCGTGGCATCGGAGCGCGTGTTTAGTGCGGCAGGAGGTATTGTAACTCCGCGGAGGACACGACTGTCCACCCAAAGTGTGGAGAGACTCACGTTTGTGAAAATGAATCAGGCGTGGATTAGTCTGGATTTCAAACCACCAGTTCCTGACACAACTGACTAAATCCGCCATGAATCATGCCCCAAACATGTTATTATTTTTAACATAGGCCTCTGTATGGCCTTCAATTTAAGCTGCTTACCTTCGCCACTCTGCCATGGGCCCCTGTACCGCCTCCTCTTGCTGCTGCCAGGTCCAGAGTGTGTCATGGATCCCTGTACGGCCTCCCATTGCTGCTGTCTCCATCGCCACACTCTGCCATGTGCCACTTTCAGGTCTCCTCACACTGCTGGTGGGTTTCCATTTTGTCATAGGGTGCTGGCAGATTACGGGCCTCCCATTGCTGCTGCCAGGCCCGTAATCTGCCATGGGCCCCCGTACCGACTCCTCATGCTGCTGCCAGGCCTGTAATCTGTCATGGGCCCCTGTACCGCCTCCTCATGCTGCTGCCAGGCCAGGTCCAGAGTGTGACATGGGTCCCTGTACGGCCTCCCATTGCTGCTGTCTCCATCGCCACACTTTGCCATGTGCCACTTTCAGGTCTCCTCACACTGCTGGTGGGTTCCATTTTGTCATAGGGTGCTGGCAGATTACGGGCCTCCCATTGCTGCTGCCAGGCCCGTAATCTGCCATGGGCCCCCGTACCGACTCCTCATGCTGCTGCCAGGCCCGTAATCTGTCATGGGCCCCTGTACCGCCTCCTCATGCTGCTGCCAGGTCCAGAGTGTGTCATGGGTCCCTGTACGGCCTGTCCCATTGCTGCTGTCTCCATCGCCACACTCTGCCATGTGCCACTTTCAGGTCTCCTCACACTGCTGGTGGGTTCCATTTTGTCATAGGGTGCTGTATGGCCTCCCATTGCTGCTGCCAGGCCCGTAATCTGCCATGGGCCCCCGTACCGACTCCTCATGCTGCTGCCAGGCCCGTAATCTGTCATGGGCCCCTGTACCGCCTCCTCATGCTGCTGCCAGGTCCAGAGTGTTTCATGGGTCCCTGTATGGCCTCCCATTGCTGCTGTCTTCATCGCCACACTCTGCCATGTGCCACTTTCAGATCTCCTCACACTGCTGGTGGGTTCCATTTTGTCATAGGGTGCTGGCAGATTACGGGCCTCCCATTGCTGCTGCCAGGCCCGTAATCTGCCATGGGCCCCCGTACCGACTCCTCATGCTGCTGCCAGGCCCGTAATCTGTCATGGGCCCCTGTACCGCCTCCTCATGCTGCTGCCAGGTCCAGAGTGTGTCATGGGTCCCTGTACGGCCTCCCATTGCTGCTGTCTCCATCGCCACACTCTGCCATGTGCCACTTTCAGGTCTCCTCACACTGCTGGTGGGTTCCATTTTTTCATAGGGTGCTGTATGGCCTCCCATTGCTGCTGCCTCCTCCGCCACACTGTGGCTCCACACTCTGGTTTTGGCCCCGTGACTGCCCAAATGAGTGAAGTGTGCGGTGATTCTAAGATCGACGGCACTCATCTGCATGTCATACTGACTGACAGTATTATTTCTCTTCCCCAGCAGACTCCAAGGGCATTTAAATTAAAGGTACAGTGTTCTGCACTAATATAAAGGCTCTCTGAAGCCTAGAAACACCCTTTTTATAAGTTAAATTCGCAGCGAATATATTCGACTCGAATCAAATTTATTCCGCGAATTCGCCGAATCAGCCGAATCGAATTTTTGAATAATTCGCTCATCTCTAATTATGATGTACACTGATCTGTTGTGGGTCTGGTGCATTTTTGAAAATCCTGCTTGCTTCATTTTTTTGGTGCAGGTTTGTTGTGGTGAAAAAAAAAAAGCACCAAAAACGTACCTCCCCATTGAAATCAATGGAAAACATGGCACAAAACACATCAATAAAGCACCCGCATTGAGTATTTTATGTGTTTTTTTAGTCCTGTAAAAAATAATACAGTAAAAACATGGTGTCCGAGTTGTGTTTTTTGCTGTGGATAAGTTTGAAAGTAGCCCTAGATGATCGGTTGCACATACTGTATGTGAAGGGTTTCAGTCTGGCAAACTTGACAAACAACAGAGTTCTGTCTTTGCCAAACTGTTCTGTCAATTCTGTCTTGTGGTTCAATCTCTGTAGTAGGTGATTCATTACACTGTAGGTAGTGAGCACAGGAATCTCTATACGCTTTGTACACAGTGCAGAGGTCTTCCTCATATTATTTCTTCTTCTGTTGAATGTTTTTAGCTTTTAGGCTTCATGCACAATGAGTGTTTAACCACTTGCGTTACTGAGGATTTACCCCCCCCCCCCCCCTTCCTGACCAGGACATTTTTTGCCATACGGCGCTGCGTTACTTTAACTGACAATTGCACAGTCATGCAACGCTGCACCCAAATGAAATGTATGTCCTTCCACAAATGGAGCTTTCTTTTGGTGGTATTTCATTGCCTCTGTGTTTTTATTTTTTGCGCTATAAACAAAAAAAGCCCGACATTTTTGAGGAACAAAAACTATTTTTGACTTTTTGCTGTAAAACATATCCAGTAAAAAAAATTTAAAAAATCAAATTTTGTCATAAATTTAGGCCAAAATGTATTCTGCAACATGTCTTTGCTACAAAAAAAACCCCAATACATGTAAATTAACTGGTTTACATGAAAGTTATAGTGTCTACAAATGGTGGTATATATACTGGATTTTTTCTTTTATACTAGTAATGACGTCAATCAGTGACTTATAGTGGGAATGCGGCAGGCATTCTGACACTGGGGGGGACTGACTGACTGTCACTGACATCACCAGTGACACTAATGCAGTGATCAGTGCTAATAAAACTCACCGACACTGTACTAATGACACTAGACAGGAAGGGGTCAACATCTGGGACAATCAAAGTGTTAACTGTGTGTGCTTTATTGTGTCATCCCATTGCTTTGTATTGCCCGGTGGGGAATCACTGGCCAGGACCCAGTGATCAACATCTGAGGCCATCAATGGCGTCCCCTACCCCCCCCCCCCCCGAAATGCAAAATTATGTATATATACATGATTTTTCGCAGCCCTGCCGCCCTGTACAAGTATTTCTGCTATAGAGCATCAGGAAAGCTGTTAACATGCTGATTTTAGTTCCATCTGGTGGTTTTTGTTTTCCCTCTAAATGCTCCTCCATGTTAACCTATGTGCCCATGCACACCTAGGCATTTAGAGGTGTTTAGAGTCACAAAAAAACCCCTACTGCTAGCGTGTCTAGGAACAGCAGGATTTTGGCAGAAAAAAAAAACGTGTGGCAGGTGTAAACATGTGCATTAACATTAGGTACGTCAAGTGCTTGCTTGTGAGCTAATTCATTTCAATGGCCAGGATAAATTATTATTATAGCCAATGAAATTAACGCCCAAGCGCTTGATGGGCCTCAACACATCTAGATGCTTCCAGGTTCCAAGTGTGGTTTTTTTGCCAAAACGCTGCTGCCAGGTGGAAAAGCATTTAGGAGATCTGGGCAAACCCCCATGTACATGAGGTCTTAACATCAACTCTTCTGGTCAAATGTTCCGAAGACTTTTTTTTCTCTAAGGTCTCATTTACATGGGCCTACCTAAATTGGTTCTAAAGTCTAATTTTTTTTTTACCTTAATACATTCTCTGCATTAAAGTAAAGAACTCCCCTCTACCTATCTTATTCACATTCCATACACTTACCTGACTTATGTCAATGCTCCTGCACTGTCCTGGCTACAGTACTACTACTTTCACTTCCTGGTCACACAGGAGACACTGAAATCAATGAGAGCCATAAGGTCCCACTGCTGTCAGTCAAACTCCCGTGAGCAGGGTGTCCGAATTTCAGCAATGTCAAAGCAGAAAGAGCTCCTGCTCAGGAGTGATGTCATCTCCATCCAGTTAATGAAAGTAGTCAGCAATCGATACTAGGAAGACAGCCACTCAAAGATGTCATTGGCCAGTGGAGAACTCCAGGATGCTGCATCACTGGGGCCGAGGTGGGTATAGTTCTGCTTTAAGTACCTCCGTGTGAATAGGCCTTAGGCTGGCCATACATTATACAATTTTCTTGAGAATTTTGCTTTAAATTTACCAAAAACTATATAATATGAGGTCAAACCTAAACAACAACTTTCAATTGTGTCCAATTAGGCAGGCCCTTGCACTACATAGTTGAAGGTAAATCTAAATAAAATAGGGCATAAATTGGACAGAAAATTGTATAGTGTATGGTCAGCCTTAGGATCGAATGTTACATTCACCCTGCAAAAGGCTTCAAGTAGAAACTGACATTTTGCACATACTGCAAGCATTATGGGTATTATTTGTGATTTTTGTACAAATGCTCAAAGGGAATTTTTCATACATAGACCCCAAAAGGATTTACTAGCTTTTTTAGCTCACATACTAAGGGTAGAATTGGCTCCGGTCCCTGGCCAATAATCCATCACAGGTCTTGCATCTGGGGAAATGGACACAGGTGGTTGGATGTGTCAGAGTTCAGAAGGAGTATCAGAACTGGGATATCTCTGAGCCTGAGGACTGCAAGTTGCTTTTGAAGATAAATCCTGATGTATCTCATTGTAGTGGCCAGTTAAGGATGATGTCTGTTAAGTACATGCTCGGACTCTTTCTATTTTGGAAACCATCTGCTACGCAACAAACATCACTATTATGCTGGAAAAAAAAAAAAAACCTTGCTGTTTCTTTTACTATTTTTTGCTGGTCTCCCACCTATAGAGGAGTAGAGAAGACAGAGACATTTGAAGGGAAAATACACACTTTGTTGATTGCATAGTTTGCAGCTTTGAGGAAGACTACTAGTGCATAGCGTGGTGAATTTTATAGTCTACAAATTTCCATCTCTGTTTAATCTGTGGCTCCAATGACCCTGCTAAGTGCTTCAGCTATGGCTACATTGAGAGAGATCGGGAAATCATAACTGGTGATACAGGATATGCCTGTAGTAGTCCTTATCAACACCCCTGGCATCAAAGGACGGTGTGAAAATCCTGTATGTGTTACAGAGAACTGCTTAAAGAGAGATTTTGGCCAAATGAACAATAAGCCAGGCTGGTGCTTCTTTCTTGTATAGAGATTTCGAAAAAAGCCTATTTTACTTAAACCTAGAAGATACCTAGGACTCTGAAAAATTGAGGAAATTCTACAATGATTTGATGTAATTGTCGCTGTGCTGGCCCGCATCTATCTACATCAAAAAATTCATAGCCTTATACATGTAGTAAAAAAATGGTTGCAGTTGGATGTCCTAACTGGCCTACAGATTAGGAAGAAGTCTCAATGGACTGATCTATCAGGGCCATACCATGAACCCAGTGGAGATTGATGAACCAGGCAGATCAAAAAGCAGCTGACCAGTTTGTTCTGTTTCAAAAGGCACCAGGTAAGACTGTTTCTTTTATACATGAATATGGGGAAATAATACAAATGTAGTGTTTTGAAAGCTGCAGATTTGCCTACCGTTATTGGGAAACTGCCTTCAAGGTGGTGTAGGCAATATAGCTGTTGTGGACATATTGCTGCTTGTTGTCCATTTCCTGGAGAACGGGTGGAATGGGCCACTGCCAGGAGCTTGTCCTTATGTGTTTTGCATTCCTTGTGTGTTTAGATTGTGTAACATATATTTAGTAAAAGTAGATTTGGAAAAGTGCGTAACATATATTTTGCCAAAGTTGATTTGGAAACCTATTCAAAAGTGTAACTTGTGGATCCATGGTGGTTCTGGTGTATGCCAGTTTGCTGATCAACTAAATTACCATTGCATTGGAGGGGGCGCATGCATGGTAATTATAACATTTATTCCACTGCAGTAATGAACCTTAAACAGTTTAATTGCCTGTCATAAAGTTGGCTTGTTTCTCTCATTATTATACAATAGATTCCTAGAAAATGACTTTCCTTTGTTCTCAAACTTATGTGAAGTAAATAATTGTGATGTTGCATCTTTTGTTTATTGTCCTGAACCATCCAAATGGTGTTTTTTGTAGATATGTATGGGTGACCAGTACCACAGACTTATTCAAGTTCACTCTGTTGTCTTAGCAGATTACACAAAGAAACCTTTTGCAGTGCTTGCCAGAAAAAAATGTTTTAAAAAATGTTTTAAAGTGGTGATGTTTTGAATGGGGAATTTTTGATTTACAAGCTGAAAAGGTGTTTCCTCATATTGCTGTTTACCAGTAATTTAATCTGTTAGGTCTGTACATCTGTTCAAAAATAGTGGCATATTTAGCAGTGTCTTGAATCCATTGGAGGATACTTTTGGACCTAGCCCACAAAAATACCCTGGAAGGTCACCTATGGTAGGAAAGGTTCTGTTCCCAAGGGTCCTTAATCATGTACTATGCATATTGTCTGCAATGCCTTTTTTCTGCTTCCCTGTTGCATTTCCACCAATCCTTAATTATTTATGCAAAATCAAGTTTTATTTTCCTTTGGAGAATGCATCCAGTTGAAGCAGTGACCCAGTACCGAGGCAAGTCCAGGGGTGGACTGACAACTCATGGGGCCC